TAGCCTTATTGCACCTATGCCCCTTAACCGTCGCCACAGGAGATCTCAGTTCTGACCTGGGACTCCACGCCCACTTTCCCAAAAATTCCTTTGCACACCCCTTTTTGCACTTCCAGGCCCACATTGCACTCCGATCAGGAAGTCGCGCCGGGCGTGAGGTGGGTATCGGAGCCGACACGTGGCAGGGTTTTAGGATTCGCAGGGCGACAACTGAGATCGAAGCGATCTGGCTAACAGAGGGCGACCTCGACCTGGAAACGCGCATCGACGCGACCCCAACGTTACAAGAAGTCAGTCTGCGGCTCGACGGGCGGCCAATATGAACGCTAATCAGCAGAACCCGAACCCACAACAGAACCCCAATCAGCAACTAAATCCTAATCAACCTGCACCACGAGCACGGGCGCCCATGGTCCCACCCGATCTCTGTCTGTTCGATCCCGCTCATCACCTTGCTGGAGCATGGCTGGCCACACTCCAAGCTCAGCAGTACGATGACAACGAGGCACATGTAAACATTTCCGCTCGATTGGGGGGAGACGCTCATCATTGGTTCAACTTCTATGTATGGGTTGATCTCCCGACATTCGAGCATGATGTTTTGAATCGATTCGATTATATTCACCCGGAACAGGCTCTTTTTATGATTAAAGACCGAGTTCAAAAACCCCTAGAGTCTGTCACTGAGTACGGAAACCGATTTTACCGAATGTTTGTAAAAAATGAACGAGGCGAACATGAGGGTAAAAATGTGTTTATTGATGGGCTTCACAGCAGAGCGATGAGGGCGAAACTGCGAAAATAGTTCTCCCCCATTAATCACACGCTACAACAGATCATGGCAACCGCAGAAGAAATGGAACGAAAGTTCGCGATGAGTTTCCTGGAAGGAGAAGATTATCCTAGGGAAGAAGACTCGTCCGAACTAGCGAGAGCTAAAGCCGAGCTCGCTGCGCTACATAATAAGTTCGAAAACATGGGATTTGTTTCTGGCCATGTCACCTATCTGGAACAGATTAGCCCCAAACGACTCGCCCCGAGTGTGATTGCGGGCATGCCAGTTCCCGTGATGACGACACCCCCACCTCCCATCGAAAGTCCCGCACGACCAAATGAATCAACCGCCTTATTGGAACTGACCAAAACACTGGTCAATCTGATCCAGGAAAGCAAAAAGCAACAACGGGAACACAACGCTCGAATAGAGGCGATGATGAGGTCGATGTGACCGATAGCAGTACGTGCCGCCCCGATTCAACACGGGCTGGCTCCAGCACCCGCTCTTGGAGGGGCTGCTGGTAACTTGAACGTCTTTTACACGTGTCACCAACCTGGGCATATAGCCCAGGACTGCCCTCATCGACCCCCAAAATCGCGGATCGGAGCCGCACCTGTAGCAGCAGCCCCGATCGCTAACGGGCCGGGACGAGTAGGAGCGCTGATGGAAGAAATGGAAGGAGGAGGAAGTGCGTTAGCTACGACGGAAGAAGCCGCTGAACTCATTCCGGTGGATCAGTATGTAACACTTGGTTTCCCGGGATTAGGCATGATTGGAACGATCAGACCCGTACCCGAATAGAGGGAAGTGGCGGAATGGAGACCGTCTCCAGGAGAAATGGAGTCGGGAGGACCCACCTTTGTCGCCGGAAAAATCGACGTTTTGAACATTGTACGGACACTAGATCACCGAATCCCTCTCCCAATCGCTCATCTATTGTCGATATCGGAACAAGCCAATGAACGCATGTTGCAACATTGCAAGGCAAATCGAAAGCGATTTGCCCTTGCTCGAACAACAAACACGAAAGGAAAGAGTCCAGCACAAGATGAACCCGTCACTAACACATCAGATCTGATACGCCTGGGATTGATCCAGGAAAGATGATCACTTCCTGCAGTTTTAAGCGATTCCGTGGAAATCCGCAGAATGTGATATCGACGTACGAGGAGTCCCGTACAATGAGGAAAAAATCAAAACAGTAAGACGAATGACGAATGTTGCGTTTCGATTGGGTAAGGTGCACGCTATGGGAGATGTCGTAGTATTAGACGTCAACACTTACGATGTCCTTCTGGGTTTGCCTACTCTTATGGCTCTGCGAGCCAACCTGGACTTCGAAAGACGATCGATTATCCTCCGAAATACAGGAGGAAAACCTTACGTCATACCTATGAGACTAACCTTGCGTACTACCATTAACACAGCCCCGCAAGCCTCTCAAGCAATGATGCGAAGTCTCCCTGTGATCACTTGGGAAAACTACGCGGACGATGAGCAATCATTGAAAGAGGCGGACAACAGTAACAAGGATGATGTAGTAATTTTGGAGCTCGCGCAACAGCGCATTTGTTACCCTGCACAAAGAACGAACACAAAACTTCTGAACTTGACTGATCGAAATTTGCAGAGGACGCGGGCAATGATTCTGGGTAAACCTCTCGTACAAATATCGAAGATGGTCGATTTTTTGGAACTTCCTCGTACCCTGTACGACGGTATCTCCCCTCTTCTTGCGCGATACAACGACAAGAGACACTTCTGCGATACCATGAGCCTCCCGCGATCTCTTTTGCCACCTGCAAAAGAGATACGATTGCCACGCTTAGGGCTATGAATCCTCCGCGGTCATGACCGCGGGGTCAATCTATGCCCGCGGTCTGGATCCCGACCGCCGAGGTCGGCTGCGGGCGGGGGCCGCGGTCCCGAATTTGGAACAATTTTTTGTTATTAAAAATATACAAAAAATAAAAATAAAAAAATATGGGGTTGTATGGTTTGAATATACCTACACTCGTATATTTTTTGTTTTGAATTATAAACTGTTTTTTCATTTAAAAAAAAATAGAAAACCAAAAAACAAGTATTTAAATCAAAAGAAACATAATTAAAAAAAAAAAAAAAATTTATGTTGCACGTGTGTGTGTGTGTGTGGGTGTGTGTGCATGTGCTGGGGGGAAGGGCGACCCCTTCCCTACCAATCAATCAATCAATCAATCAATCAATCAATCAATCAATCAATCAATCAATCAATCAAAGAAAAAAAAAAGTAAAAAAAATGGAATAGCGGGTTCGACCCGCGCGCGTTTGTGTGTGTGTGTACGTATGTGTGCGTGTGTGTGTGTGTGCGTGTGTGTGTGTGTGTGTGTGTGTGTGTGTGTGTGTGTGTGTGTGTGTGTGTGCAAGGGGGGGGGAGGGTGACCCCTTTCCCACCAACCAACCAATCAATCAATCAATCAATCAATCAACCAATCCATCCATCAGTCAATAAAACAAATCAAGATCCTATCGATTCGATAGGATCTTGATTGGTTTGGTTGATTGATTGATTGATTGATTTGATTGATTGATTGATTTGATTGATTGATTGATTTGATTGATTGATTGATTGATTGATTGATTGATTGATTGATTGATTGATTGATTGATTGAT